CTGTACCGGAGGGGCTACCGAAGGAGGAGGGGTAGCCTGGGACACACCTGACGGGGCTGGACCAGGGGGGGGAGGCTGTACCGGGGGAGCAGGAGGGGGAACGGCAGTCAGGAAGAGGGGGGGAGGAGGAACCGGGAGACCTCGACTGGGGTACCTGACGTAGTACGGAGTGGACTCCTTGAAACGGACGTCACGGGAGTCAAAGAACCGGTGAGAGGGAGGGTGGTAAAAGGTGAAGTCAGAGGAGTCCTCAGGGAAACCAAGGAAGACACAGGGGACGGCACGAGGCGAGAGCTTGTCCGCGGAGGTGTCGCGGACAAGAGCCAAGCACCCCCAGACACGAAACCGCGACGCAACACCAGGGGACCCTGTCCAAAGACTGGTCGGTGAAACCTCTGGTCGAGAGACACGTGGCCAGAGGTTCAGCTCGTGCGCGGCGTACCTGACCGCGTAGGGCCACAAAAAATGGGGGGCACAGGCGTGAGTCAGGGAGGTGCGGGCGATCTCCATGACCAGGCCTATGCGGCGCTCAGCAACCCCATTCTGCTGTGGGGACTCTGGAAGCGTCCAGGACTGACGAATGCCCTGCTCGCGACAGAATCCAGCGAGAATGCCGGAGCGAAACTCACCCCCACGGTCGGAGTGGAGACAGCTGACACGACGACCACGAGTGTCCGCAGTGGTGAGCAACCACCTGATCAGCGTAGAAGTCACCTCAGACTTCTTCGCCAGAGGGAACACTGTGGTGTAGCGGGAGAAGTCGTCAACGACCACCAGAAAGTAACGCTCACGCTCAGGGCCTAGACGAGGGGCTGGGCCCCAGACGTCCAAGTGAAGCGTCTCAAAAGGCTCGGTGGCCGGACGAAGGGAGGAGGAGTGAGGGGTGGCGCGCAGCCTACCCTCGACGCAGGGACGACACGGCGGCGCAGGCGAAGGCGGCAGCGACGGCAAGACACGTGGGAGGCCTAGGACAAGACGCTGACTAGACATAGCGCGCAGACGTGGAAGGGACGGGTGCCCCATCCGGTGGTGCCACAGAACGGTGGGGTGGGCAAGCGACCGGCAGGAGCACGACGCAGCGACTGGAACAGACGTAGGAACCTGACACGACACAGACACCTGGGGGGACGTAGCAACCTGGTGAGACGCGGGGACCCGAACGGGGGGGGGAACCGGGGGCAGTGGCAGTAGGGGGGGCTGCTGGTGCGGCCGCTGGTGCTGCTGCTGCTGCTGCTGCGGCTGCTGCTGCTGCTGCGGCTGCTGCTGCGGCGCACGCGGGCCAGTGTGAAGAGTGTAGAGACCCGAGCCCGGCTCAGCAGTAAAGGTAGCAAGAGGCTGGTAAGAGTCTCCGTCAACACACACCGCAGTCTCTCCAGAAGGCTCAAACCACACACCCACGTGCTGACTCACGAGGGGTCGCACGCCCACCAAGTTCCGGGAGAACGAGGGGACGTGAAACCCAGTGAGAGACCCGGAGGGAGCAGCAGGACACGGTAAAGTGGTAGTGTGACGTGCAGTGACTGGTCCCGTAGTGGGATCAGCCAACGCTACAGAAACAGGCGCAGGAAGTGGTGTAAGTGTCGTGCTGTCCCGAAAGAAGCAGTGGGAGGCTCCAGAGTCCAGTGTGAACGACAGCGAAGCGTCCTCTGAGGTAGTCGCTGGTCTAGAGTCTACACAAGTACCTACACTAGCAACAGGCAACTGAGCAAGACTAGCACCTAAGCTAACAACACCAGAGTAAACAGAGTCAGAAACACTAGAGTCAACAACAGCATACATAGCATGAGGAGCACTAATCAGATCAACTAACTGCTCAGCAGACATGCCCCACAGAGCGGAGCCGTAGCGCTGAACCAGAGGAAGCCAGTCAGGAGCAGGACCGCCAACCCCGTAGGTCAATCGGACCGTGTCAGTGAGCTGAGCAAAGCACTGACCAGGGGGGTGAAAGCGGCCACAAGGGTGGCCCCGACGAGGACCTGTCTGAACCTGGTAGGGGCAGGGAGGGTAAGCAGCACCGCGCTGGGGCTGACGCAGCCCCGACCCCGGAGCCAGCTGCTGACGCTGCTGCTGCTGAGGCTGCTGGGAGGAAAGGGGCTGCTGCTGCTGCTGAAGGTGCTGCTGACGCTGAGCCTGGTACCATGCCGCTGCTCCACCTAGCGGGGCCGGCAGTACAGGAGGCGACTGACGAGCTCGAGGGTCGCCGCCACCAGCAGGTGCAGTGGAGTCACCAGCCGCTGCACGAGGGGTCTCTCCAGACGCTGCACTCCCACCACCGCCAGTCGCAACAGCACCCCCACTACCTCCGCTACCTCCGCCTCCACCTCCACCGGAACCACCTTTCTTGCCCCCCCTGCCGCGGGACCGCGACGCAGTCGTAACAGCAGCCGCAGTCGCGTCAGTAGCGGCAGTGGCAAGAGAGGCAGTGAAGGTGGGTAACTGCGGGACTGTGCACCCGTGGAAGAGTGGGGGGGACACAGTACCAGAGGCGGCAGCTACCGAACGAAGGTTGCTCTCGACGTCCTTGAGTGCAGACTCAAGGACCTCGATAGTCAGCTCACTAGGGTGCTTCAGCAGAAGCGCGTCACGAACGGAGGCAAGGCGGTCAGGGAGGCTAGTGGCGATGAAATAGACAGTAATCGCCATGGGGGGAGGAAGCAGTGCAAGCTGTGCCTCAGTGCAAGCAGCGCGGTAACTAGCGTCGAGCGAGCGGAGGTGAGCGATCAAGTCAGCAGAGCGCTCAAACGAGGCAAGATCAGGAAACAGGAACGGGAGGAAAAGACGGCCGAGAGAGACAGTAGCGGGAGTAGAGTAGCGGGCCTTAATCGCAGTGAGGTACGCAGCAGCGGTGCGAACCTGAGTAAAGTGGACCTCCTCGGACTCAGGGAGGAGGCTGCTGAGTGCGATGCAGGCCGCAGCGTCACGCGACGTCCAAGCCGTCCGGTCAGCGCGCTGACGGGCAAAGCGAGCCGTAGCAGCGTCGTCAGGAGCAGGGCCTAAAGCGGTAGGCTCGGGGGGCTCGGGGAGGTCACCAGTAGCGTGTGACCAGAGGGTCTCGCCCCCCTGGACCTGACTCTCTAACAGACGACGAGCGCGAAGAAGCCAGACGGAAAAGTCAAGGGGTCTACCGTCAGCGTCGAAACGAAGAACTCGCGGAGTCGCCATAGTGAGAACCAACGCGAACGAACAGGCGAGTAACAACCGGGGGGGAAGAGGACTCAGTCGCAGCGGAAGAGCGGGCTAGGGCGACGGGCCAAAACGTAGGGTAGGGCAACGGGCCAGGGCCTAGGGTAGGGCGACGGGCCAGAGCCTAGGGAGGGCGACGGGCCAGGGCCTAGGGAGGGCGACGGGCCAGGGCCTAGGGAGGGCGACGGGCTAGGGCCTAGGGAGGGCGACGCGACGGGGGAAAGGGCGGGAGCGACGCGACGGGGCAGGGCGACGCGACAGGACAGGGCGACGCGACGGGGCAGGGCGGCGCGACGGAGCAGGGCGACGGGACAGGGCAGGGCGACGCGACGGGGTAGGGCGACGCGACGGGACAGGGCGACGGGACGGGACGGGACGGGACAGGGCGACGCGACGGGACGGGACAGGGCGACGCGACGGGACAGGGCGACGGGACGGGACAGGGCGACGCGACGGGACAGGGCGACGGGACGGGACAGGGCGACGCGACGGGACAGGGCGACGGGACAGGGCAGGGCGACGCGACGGGACAGGGCGACGGGACGGGGGGGGAACAGGCGGGCGCGACGCGACGGGGGGAACAGGCGCGACGCGACGGGGGGAACGGGCGCGACGCGACGGGGGGAACGGGCGCGACGCGACGGGGGAGATGATGCTAGGCTCGGTACTAGGCGCGGTAACAACTAAACTGGTACGAACGAGAGGTAGGATCAGGCTCGGGAGGTACGAACGGAGAACGGAGGAACGGGATCCCACAGGATCCTAACCTAGCTGATACCATGTCTAAATGAGGAATGGATGTTGCATTGATGTTGGTTGGGGTACATATGACAAACCCTAACTTATGTACCCCCTAAGACAAACCTCACTACAGGCTACAACATTTGACACCGAGAACCATCTGGTGATGTCCCACCTGCGCGCCAGGAGCACCACCGATGTCACCGAAGACATGTGCCTCGGGGGCACCACGGGCGACAACACGCGCCTGCTTGGGAAGGCTCCCGAGGAGGAGGAGGAGGAGGAGATGCAGGCGGAGGGCGTGAAAGAGGTGGCCGTGGCCACCGGCCTGGAGGTGCTGTACCAGGAGACCCCTCACTACCGGGGAGGGGCGGCCGAGGCTGACCGCATGATCGAGCCCGTGCAGACAGCCAGGCACGCCTGGCGAGTGCCAGACTTGGGGATGCAGGAGCCACCATCTACTAGTGCAGATGAGGAGGGCGTAACAGAGGGGGGCTAGGTAGAAATAGTAAGATTGGATAAATGCATGCATGTACCCCCCCCACCCCTGAATGCAAGAACCGATTATAAGACACCCACCCCCTTTATAAGGAAACCCTAAACCCTAGCACTGTTTAGTAGGCACTGTCTTAAGTCGTACACGCTTGTAGGTGGCTTATAATCGGAAGCACCCAACTATAAGAAACACCCGTATTAAAGACACCCCCTGTCTTCAATTCGACACTGTCTTCTATCCAGGCGATGACGGTAATATTTGTCGTTTCTCTATAATATGTACTCTTTTTCATATCAACCAAGTGCACTGAGGGCAAGGGTCCTGACTCCTGCACTGGCCAGGATAGTTGTAGCTTGTGTTACTGGTACTTATCCCCAATCAGAGACTAGCCAACCGACTACTGCAAGTTGATCATTTCATTCACAGAGAATACCTTGCCTTGCATGCACCATGTTCACCACCTGTCTCTCCACTAGCAACAACGATCACAGCACAACCAGCAGCAGGCTATGTGTGGGTGGGCCACTGTTCACTCTGCTGGCAAAATGCAGAGACACGGGCTTTAAGAGCAGGTTGGGCTTTAAGCGCTGGTGACAGTGACCTCGACTTCGACCCCCGGCTCGATGCTGATGGACGTGATCTGCTTCACCACCTCCGATGGGCTCACCAGGTCGATCACGCGCTTGTGCACACGCAGCTCAAACGTGTCCCACGTGTTGGTACCTGCAAAGGGGAGGGGTGGTTGGGGGGAAGAGAGAGAGGGGAACAGGGGGTGTTGGAGGGTGTTGAGGGGCACTGAGGCACTGGCGCTTGCGCACGCGAGCTCGAACGTGTCTCACGAGTTCATTCCTGTAAAGAAAGGGAGAACCAAGCGGGGTAGTTTGACCGAGACGGCGGGAGCTGGAGGCGGAAGAGGAGTGGCGGGAAGTGGGGGGAAGCTTCACGCCGAGCTTGGGGGCACGGGATGACAGCAGCAGCTTGCTGCGGTGGGGCAGAGTCGCACCACCGCTGCCGCGCACAAGCGCGTCAACTCGGCACGCCGACGCGATCTCGCCTCGTCGCACCAGCGTGTGCGAGGCACCAATCAGCGCTTCTATTCGCTGAGTCACCATGCGCCTGTCGCACAGCCCCTTCCTTCATACACCGCGGCCGTGCCGTGCCTCGCCACTCACCCTAACTACTGCAGCACAAGAGTTCTCAAAGTGACTCAGCTACTCCCCCCCCCCCCCCCCCCCCCTCGTTCTTCCCTCAACTCACCGTTGCCGCAAGGGGACTTGCGCGTGGTATGGCGGAGCACCTTGGTGGGCATGCGCACGGGGCCCTTCACCTTGAGGCGCTTCTCCTTGGCTCCGCGCACCAGGTCCGCGCACACTGCGCGGGGAAACGTCAGGGATTGGGAGGGGGGAAGATGGGGGAGGCGAAGAGACGGAAACGAGAAAGGAAAACGAAAGAAGAGAAAGTGGGAGAAAGGAAAGAGAACAGAAACGGAGCAGGTAACCGGGTGAGCAGGTGATATAAACGCGCGAAAGAACAGAGCTTGAAAACAGTCGCAGCTATGAAACGTCGACACGCTCATGACCGTGGCGCACCGCCGCGGCTACTGTGGCGCGAACAGCCAATAGCGAAGGGCTAAACCCGAAACCGCGTCAATAGCAAAATCAGGCTTGCCAACGACAAGATATCGAGTCGATGAAATACAAAGCACTCAGCGCAAAAAAGACAGACGAGCGCTTCTGGTCGAACACAGGGACGACTGCACTCGTGCAATTCCCGCAACAGCACATCTAGCGGCCGCAACAGCACATCTAGCAAGCACGAATTCACAAGTTTTGGTGAGAACTAACCCTTCTCGAGGCTCTTGACGTTGTTCATGCAGCTGAGCGTGATGCGGATGTTCTGCACCTGCTGCTCCACCGGGGTCTCCTCCAACCCCGCTTTGGCGGACTTCACGGGCGGCGGCACGCCTGCCATGATGCCTTGCTTTGCTGACCTGGACGAAACGACAAAAGAGACAGCATGGTTTCGCTGGTCCGCGCGCTAATCTTCGCCGTCCATCGGCATCTGCTGCCGGGCTTTAAGCAGTCGATCACATAGCGGAAAATCGCACTACTTGGATTGAAGGCTTGCATGCTACTAGAGAATCACGCGAGCGTTCTTACTTGACTTAATTTGACGAATGAGCGCTCCCCCGAGACAGACGCCGGAGAACCGACCGCTTGCTGAGGGGTTTAGCGATGAGAACGAAAGAACGTGAAAGGAAGAATGAGGGAGGGCGTGTGGCTCTTATGCTGGAATGGGTGAGGACTGGGTTTGCAGGGGAAGAGGTCGTTTGACACTGTATACTTGATATACGCGCACTCTGATAATAGAAACAAGAAATTCTTAGAACACTTCTCCATTCTCAGTCATATGATTCTGTTCGAGGACTTCCTACGAGTCATGAAGTGATCATGAGCTCCGTCCTCTATACAGTATGTTCACCTTCCTAGTTTCGCTGCTGTAGCTGGTCGGGAACGTCAGCAGGGGGAGTCGGAGATTCATTTTCGGCTTTTCCGCGCTGGAACCCTGCACGTGAGCGATTACGATGCCGTTGGATGACGGACAGGTATCTTTCAAAAGCATTCTGACGTGGACCGGCAAGCCTGCCCATTCCTCTCTCCTTGGATACCCAGCAAATTTTTTGAAGGCGGATTCGGCCACCTTGGCCACGTAGGCTCCTGGCTGCCTAGCTGGAGGCCGCGCGCACCCAAATCCCGTAACAAAGTCCCTTGCCACGCCCAAGAGCCGCGCTCATTACAAGCATATCCTCGTCAACCTCAAAGAATGATAAGATGCATGCCCTTCCTCTCACAACTCCCTTTCTGTTGTCCCACTTTTGTTGGCGTTACGTACAACCCTCATCTGCCATAACTAAGACGGCAGTTATTTTCGCAGTTGCTTGCCTCATCACGGATAAGTCGGGAAAACGCTTCTAAACTCAAACCCTTAACAAACCCCCCGTTAGGATCTTCTTGTCTGCCGTTCCCCGAGTAAGCGAGCATGGCTGCCTTGGAGTTGTCTGCCGTGTCGTCGCGTCTGACCACCGTGGAGGCTACCGGCATCGTCCAGAAGAACACTCCCGCTAACACCAAAGCCGCATTCTTTGGCGCTTCCATTCGCCACACTTCCAACGCGGCATCTCGACGCCGCTCGCAAGCCGTGCGCGCGGAGGCGCCCGCGGAAGGTGCCAAGGCGAACGTCGCGAGCCGCCCCGCCGTGTCGCAGGATGCGGACTTGGCGCTGCAGAGCCAGCGCGTGAGCAGCGGCAAGTCGCTCGTGCCGCCCACCCCTAAAGACTTTGTGTCGCGCTACGGCGACAACGAGCCGCGCAAGGGCTGCGACATTCTCGTGGAGGCCCTCGAGAGGGAGGGCGTGCGGACTCTCTTCGCTTACCCTGGCGGCGCGTCCCTCGAGATTCATCAGGTATCGTTTGAAGCGAGACCTGAATCTGTCAAAACCATTACTTCTGCGACAAAAGTCGCCGAATTCCTGGTTACCGCTCTTCACCGGCGAACGCCAACCCGGTCGACCCTGAGGCGTCTGAAAAGTCGTCTTTCTAACCACCGTTCACCTCTTTCCCCCCACCCGGAAACCCTCACCGCGACAGGCGCTGACGCGGTCCCCCAACATCCGCACGATCCTGTGCCGGCACGAGCAGGGCGAGGTGTTCGCCGCCGAGGGATACGCCAAGGTCTCGGGCCGCGTCGGCGTGTGCATCGCGACGTCTGGGCCCGGCGCGACGAACCTCGTGACGGGATTGGCCGACGCGATGCTCGACTCCGTGCCACTCGTCGCGATTACCGGCCAGGTGCCTCGGCCGTTTATCGGGACGGACGCGTTCCAGGAGACGCCGATTGTGGAGGTGACGCGGTCCATCACGAAGCACAACTACCTCGTCATGGACGTCGATGACATCCCGCGCATCGGTGAGTGTCGCACGCCCGTGAGTCAACACGAGTCAACGTGAGTAATCGCAACTACGTTGATCGTGGACGTAACGCGGTCATTTGCAAAGCACAACTATCTTGTTGCTCGCACGCCCGCGTTCCGCATCGAACTAAACGCGTGTGTTGCTCGCGCATTCGTACTTGGATACGGATTCGGTGCAAGAACCACATATTTCCAAGAACCGCGCGTCGTTAACGCCATGCTTGTTTCCCAAATCGACCTGAAAGTTACGCTATAATCAACGAGCAGCCCGCATTCATGCTACATCCGCCTGCCACAACTCCAACGACCTTCCGACTCACCCAGTTCCCGTATCCCTCCTCCCCCCGTGTCCCCGCGTCTCTCTTTCCTCCCCCCCTCTTTCCCCCTTTACGCCTCCTTACAGTGCGTGAGGCGTTCTTCCTGGCGGCGTCCGGCCGGCCCGGCCCCGTGCTGATCGACGTGCCAAAGGACGTGCAGCAGACGCTCGCCGTGCCGTCCTGGAACCAGCCCATGCGCCTTAACGCCTACCTCTCGCGCCTGCCGCCGCCGCCGCAGCGCGCGCAGGTCGACCAGATTCTCCGCCTGCTGCGCTCCGCCAAGCGCCCCGTGGTCTACCTCGGCGGAGGCTGCCTGCACGCCGCGGACGAGATCCGCGAATTCGCGCGCCTGGCGGGAGTCCCGGTGGTTTCCACCCTCATGGGGCTCGGCGTGTACGATCAGTCAGCGCCGGATGCGCTGCACATGCTGGGCATGCACGGCACGGTGTACGCCAACTATGCTGTCGACGCGTCGGACCTGCTGCTCGCCTTCGGCGTGCGCTTCGACGACCGCGTCACCGGCAAGCTCGATGTGAGTGGTCTCCTGGCTCCTGAATCACGCCGCACTTCATCCCTCTCCACTCCGCTTTCTTCTCTTCCCTCCATGGGATTCCCTCCTCTGAATCGTTCTACTTGGGGTTGTGGAGTGGATCACTCCAATTCCACGCGAGGGCTGTCGTACCGGAATTCGTCGCGCATACCCTTCCCCACTCACTCTTCCCCCCTTGGTTCTTTTTCACCTCCTCCTCCTCTTCTTCCGAGCTCATTCCCCCCTCCCTCTCGCTCCGCCCTTGCCCCCCTTCCCTCATGCATTCGCGGCGCGCGCGAGCATAGTGCACATCGACATCGACCCACCGGAGATCACTGCCCCTTTCCCCCCCACCTTATTTCCGCTCCCATCTTCCGCCCCCTCGCCTCCCCCCCTCCCCCCCCACCACAGGCGTTCGCAGCGCGCGCGAGTATAGTGCACATCGACATCGACCCGGCGGAGATCGGGAAGAACAAGGAGGCGCACGTGAGCATGCACGCGGACACGCGCCCCGCGCTCGCGCTGCTCAACGCCGCCATCAAGGAGGAGGTGGCGGACGGCCGCCCGCTTCCGTCGTACGCGGAGTGGCGCGACGAGTGCATGGCGCAGAAGGAGAAGTGGCCGCTCAAGTACCCCCAGGTGAGCTGCGGCTGTGGAAATGCGTTGTACAAGATGTGACCGTGCGTTAAACAGGGGGGAAGGATGTGGCATGGTTTGGAAAGGCACAGACGGGGAAGAAGCCGCTCGATCTCCCGCAGTGTAGTTGAGCAGCTTCCCGAAACACAGTGGCAACGGCAGTATGGCAATGGCAGTGGTGGAATGTGAGGGTCTACCACTGCACCGGCAGTGGTGGAATGTGAGGGTCTACCACTGCACTGGCAGTGGCTGGCTACCAATCGTGATTGAAGATGTAACTCACAGCTCTCACGCCCATGTGCATGCATGCATGCGGGCATGGGTGCACGAGAGCACGAGAACGCGTGGTGACTGCACCATAGTAAGGCGTGATGTCAATCTGCCTTGGATGCTACGCAATGCGGAAAAACACTGCCCTCTGCAGCGCATTCCTGAGTGGGAATCGCTGCTCCGCCTCACCGTCAAGGCCTGTGCTGCTGGCCCCCTTTTGAGTCGACTCAAAAGTCTGCTCCGCCTCACCGTCAAGGCCTGTGCTGCTGGCCCCCTTTTGAGTCGACTCAAAAGTCTGCTCCGCCTCACCGTCAAGGCCTGTGCTGCTGGCCCCCGCCTTCTCACCCTTCTCCCCGTCCGTCTCCCTCCTTCCCTCGCCCCCCTCGTCCCCCTCATCGTCCCCGTGTCCTTGTCATCTCCCCCGTCTCCCCGACCCCCATTCCATGCCGTCACCACCACCTTCATCAGGTGGAGGAGGCCATTCTCCCCCAGGAGGCGATTGAGATGCTGTACGAGATCATGCAGTGTGTGTGCTGAGTCGATTTTTGAGTCGACTCATAAATCATCATGCAGGGTGACACCTCTGTGTCCCACTCTTACCTCTTCCTCCCTCTCCCTGTTCCCTTCTCCCTCGCTGGCATACCACGATCATCCCCATCAGGTGGAGGAGGCGATTCTTCCCCAGGAGGCGATTGAGATGCTGTACGAGATCACCAAGGGCGAGATAGCGATGACCACCCCACCGCTTCACACCCCTCCTGTCCCCTCTCTCTCCCTTGTCCTCCTGCCGTACCATGATCATCCCCATCAGGTGGAGGAGGCGATTCTTCCCCAGGAGGCGATTGAGATGCTGTACGAGATCACCAAGGGCGAGGCCGTGATCGCCACAGGAGTCGGGCAGCACCAGATGTGGGCGGCGCAGTTCTTCAAGTACCAGCAGCCGCGCCGCTGGATCACCTCGGGCGGGCTGGGCTCCATGGGCTTCGGCCTGCCCTCCGCCCTGGGCGCTATTGCCAGCGAGCCGGGGCTCCCCGTGATTGATATTGATGGCGATGGGTCGTTCATCATGAATGTTCAGGAGCTTGCGACGATTACTGCCGAGAAGCTGCCGGTGAAGATCATGATTTTGAATAACCAGCACCTGGGGATGGTGGTGCAGTGGGAGGATCGGTTCTACAAGGTGAGGAGCGGTGGGGACGGGTGGGGGCATTGTCAGACTTCAGTCTTTCAAGGAATGGTTCGTGAGGGAGCCAACAACGGAAGGGATTTCATTCAAGGAATGGCATGGGAGGGATGTGATGGTGGGTGAATGCTGGTTCATCTGAATGCACGACTGAGAATCACTTACACACGCACTAGTAGGTCTTTCCCTCACCTTCCTGGGCCTGCTTCACCACGAGAGATCTTTCCCCAAGTAAGTATTTCCCCAAGTGAGGGGTCCCTCAGTCAGTATTCCATTCTCTTGTATCCCTGTTGTCCCCTTCCCCCCAGGCCAACCGAGCGCACACCTTCCTGGGTCTGCCAGACAATGAGGACGAGAGCACTTTTTTATCTTTTTCCCCACAACACCCCCCCCACCCGCTCCCCCCCCACCCTCACACTTCCATCCCGCTGCCACCAGGCCAACCGCGCGCACACCTTCCTGGGTCTGCCGGACAACGAGGACGAGATCTTCCCCGACTTCACCAAATTCGCTGCAGCCTGCAAGGTGCCTTCAGAGCGCGTCACACGCAAGGCGGAGCTGCGAGGAGCCATTGAGAGGATGCTGGCAGCTGAAGGGCCGTACCTGCTGGATATCATTGTGCCGCACCAAGAGCACGTGCTGCCCATGATTCCGGGCGGCCGGACTTTCAAGGATATTATCACGGACGGCGATGGCCGGCAAGCGTATTGATGAAGGGATGGAGAGGCAGGGTTGGGGGGTGGCAGGCTCGGGTTCAGAGTATGGTATCGGTAGTAGGATACATGGGAGGGGTGCAAATCCAAAATGTATGACTGACATTGTTTGGAGTGGTTGTAGGGCTTGGGCGCTTGTATGTATGAGTCCCTTTTGGATTGGTCAGTTGCTTGTTTATGAATATTCGTTTTCAACATTCTGCCAGATCATGTGGGCACTGGCCTGCCACGTGTTAGCTCCCTATGGGTTCCTCAGCTGTTGTGTTTCACATCAAGGATCAGGAGTGCTCCCCCCTCTACGGTGCCTGGAAACAGTTCTAATGAAAGGACACACTTGGAGTACCGTAATTGTCCAAACGCACTTCTGTTTAGCGGGAATGGCGAGAGGGGCGAAATTCAAGGGTAGCGAGAAAGGTGTTGACCAGTCACCGCATGTCGGTGGTTACACGAGAAACTCCCCTTCTACCCTGGAGCGTGGGAAAGAACCATTGCCATAAGGCAAGCGACCGAGCAGGAACGAAGCCGTGCCAGCTGTGTTCGCGACGCATCTTCTTTGCCGCGACTGGTTTGGACTGTTCGCTAGCTGTAAATTGCGAACATGCGACGACCTCTACCCACGGGCCACGATACCAACAGGTGCACTTTCTTTGACGGCGCTGTTCCACGCGCGCCGCTCGATGGGGCAGACAGCGGTGTGAGGGGGAGGGGCTGGTCTGGCTTGGAGTTTGTCCGCTTGTTTGCCCGCCCGGGTCTGGTTTTGGCGCATGGCGTCTTTTGTTTCCAGTTTATGGTGATAACAAGCGACATGCATGTTTCCTGGGGTATAAAGTTGCTTCAAAGTCGAGCAAAAATCTTAGAGTACATTGTTGTAATACCGCCTGGCAAAACCCCCTGAATTTTCTAAAAGCCTACGGAAGGATTTCGATCAGCCCAAATCCTGGCTCATATCCGCCTGCACTTGCACCGTCCACCAAATCCTACCAGACCGAAATCACACAACCATCTCGCCGCCACAAATCCCCTTGCGCCTCCCCCCCAATCTCGCCCCTGCGGCTCGTCCGAACCGAAAAGCGCAAGTTCTTTCTGCTCCTCCTCATCCCACCATCCCACGTCATGGCCGATTCCTCCCTTCCTCCTCCCCAGGGCAGTTCACCACCAGCATGAGCGATGACTGGTAAACGTAAGTGGAGATCTCTCATCTCATCTCAGTCTTCCGCATTAGTTGATACCCTCGCGCTCGCCTCGCATTCCCAATCGCGCCCGCTGGGACCACTTCTTGTTGCAAAGTCTGCACCCCTGCATAAAGCTGGGAGTCTGCCATTCAATTGCCCACAAGAGTCCCGACGTAGTCAACAAAAGATCCTCCGACCGCTCACGTAACTCGCAGATTCTTTTGACATATCTCAGCTTCTCGGACCAAAAAAATCATCAGGAGACGATTCAATACTCACATCTTCTCAATGACCGATAGACTCCGATACTTGGCGCTGTTACTCGGAATCCTATGGATCCCCCAATCTCACTCTGTTCAAGGTATAGTCATGATAGTTAGGGCCCACTACAATAGAAACGTTCGCAGCGCCGTTCACAACGCGTGCCGTCATCGCCGCCCTCTTACGTCGCACGTGCGATTGTTCGCGCGTCGCCCTCATGAGCGGCTATGCGCGTCGAAAGTTTGATCCACACCCCTCCCCCCACCCCCCCACCCCACCTTCTCCCCCCTTCCACCTCTCCCCATTCCCTCCCCGCCCTCTCTTTCTTCTTTCCCCTGCAGTGGCCTCCGCCAAGAACCCGCTTTACATCGTCCGCCTCCGCTCCGCGCCTCCGCTCACCGCTTATCGCGGCGGGATTCCCGGATACCCCGCGACCGCCGTGTGGGCCGATGACCCCGACGACGACGGCGACGACAACGGCTCGTCTGACGGGCTTATCGCCACGTCCGCCAATGCCGCCGTCGCTGCCGCCGCGACTGCCGCTGAAACTGTCGCCGCGACTGCCGCCGCAACCGCCGCTGCCACCATCGCTAGCGTTAACGTTTCCAGCGGACCCTTCGCCACCGCAGCGTCCGCTGGCGTCTCCGCGGCCACCGCCGCCGCGGGGGGGAACCAGCGTCCGCGCATCAACATGCGCGCGGCGCACGTGACGGCATTCGCGCAGCTGTTGCAGCGGCAGCAGGCGCAAGTCGCGGCGGAGGCGGAGATCGCGGCGAGCCAGGTCCTCTACAACTTCCGCCAGACCACCAACGGGTTCGCGGCGCCGCTCACGCCCGCGCAGCTGCGGAGATTAAGGCGCCACCCGTCCGTCGCGTCTGTTCGCCGCAGCCGCGTGTTCCGCAAGCTGACGACCTCGTCCGCGACGTTCTTGGGATTGCCGAGCAGCGTGTGGCCCGCCGTGGGCGGGCGGAGCCAGGCGGGCGCGGGGATGGTGATTGGAATCGTGGACACGGGCGTGTGGCCGGAACACGCGTCGTTCAGCGGAGCTGTACGTGGGAGGGGGAAAGAGATCACGTTGGTGGTGGTGAGAGTGATGGGATGGGACCAGCAAGTCTTGCCAGTGCGCTCAATCCGCATCCGACGATCATCCTTTCCCATCATCCGTATTCATTGCCCAACTCCTAGTTACTCACTCAACCCCTCCTCCTTGCCCCCACCTTTCCCCCTTCCTCCCTCCCTTCCCTCCATCCTCCTCTCATCCCTCCCCCATCCCTTTCCGCCTCTTCCCCGCCCGTTCAACCCCCCCATTCCCCTCACAGCAGGGCGTCAAAGCAGCACGCCTGGCACGGTGTGCCGGCAAGGGCCTGACCTAGTCCGACTTCCCCTTTTGCAGCAACAAGCTCATCTTCCCCCCTCCCCCTCCTTCCCCCTTTCCCCCCTTTACCCCCCCCCTGCAGGGCTTTAAAGCAGTACGCCCAGCAGGGTGGGCGGGCAAGTGCCAGAGGACGGCGGAATTCCCATCGTGCAACAACGAGCTCATCTTTCCCCTCTTCCCCTTTCCCCCTCTTTCTACCCCACCGCAGGGCTTCAAAGCAGCACGCCCGGCAGGGTGGGCAGGCAAGTGCCAGAAGACGGCGGACTTCCCATCGTGCAACAACAAGCTCATAGGCGCGCGCTACTTTGTGGCGGGCTTCCAGAGCGAGAACGGCCGCCCGGACCTCACGTACGACTGGCTGTCTCCCCGTGATGCTGCTGGTCACGGCACCTGGTGTGCGGGGTGAGTCAAGCTGTCCCAAGTCACCTCTGCCCTGCCTCTGCCCTGCCTCTGCCCTGCCTCTGCCCTGCCTCTGCCCTGCCTCTGCCCTGCCTCTGCCCTGCCTCTGCCCTGCCTCTGCCCTGCCTCTGCCCTGCCTCTGCCCTGCCTCTGCCCTGCCTCTGCCCTGCCTCTGCACTTTACCAGCTTCTCCGCCTTTTCCCATCGCCCCTCTCCCTCCCTCCCCTTCCCCAAGCACTTCATCCCTCCCCAATGACCCTGCGGACCCCACCACTTGCCTATGCCCGCCCACTCCATGCAGAGCCGCAGCAGGCAACAGCGGCGTGTCATTCGGCCAAGCAGGCACGGCCTCGGGCATGGCGCCAGCAGCACGCCTGGCAGTCTACAAGGTCTTCTGGGTCAGCGGTGGCGACCAGTTCGCTACGGAAGCTGACATCATCGCGGCCACCAACCAGGCTGTGGCGGACGGGGTGGACGTGCTCTCGCTCTCTCTGGGCGGCAGCAGCGCCGACGCGACTTACTTTGACGATATTCCGTTTCTGAATGCCAACACTGCGGGCGTGTTTGTGGCGTTTGCGGCGGGGAATTCGGGGAGGCCGAGTGGGAGTAGCGGCTTCAGCACGTATCGCAAAATCAGCAACTTCTCTCCTTTCTACCTCACTGTGGGGGCCAGGTATGTTATGTGGCAGCCCCACCTTCGCTCTCTTTCCTGTCCCTCGCGATGACCTACTTTTTCACTTCTGCAGCAGCTTTTCTCACTTTTACCTCATGGTCAGGGCTAGGTATGTTATTCTGCTTCCTCTGGTCCCCACCAACCACCTGCTTCCTGTCCTTCTTTCTCCGTTCCATGCTGAGGGACACCCATCCGGCTTGCTCCAGTGCCGGTTGAAGCAATTATAAGAAACACCTTGCCTGATCATGGTTGCTCTCTTCCCCGCCCCCCCTTGCATCTGCAGCACCATTCAACGAGGAGGAGTGTCTCTCGCCAGACGAGCACCGACCAGAAAGGCTGCTTCTGTGGGCAAAGCTACTGTGGCTGCTTCGAACCACTCCAGGTACACTGCCTTGCACAGCGGTGGGAGTGTACTCCACGCCACCTCACAGCACCTCACACCACCTCACATCACCTTACATCATCTCACATCACCTGTGCCGCTCTCACCTCATGCATTGTCCTGCAATAACACCCACAATGCTTCTACCCCCACCCTTCAGCTTTCGCTTAGCTGACCCCTCATGCCTTCCCCATTCTCCCCCCATCCTCCCTCCCTTTCCCTCCACCAGCACACCGCAATCCGTCTCATCAACAACACCCTCTTCCACCACCAAACCCTCCGCCACACAAAGCAAGCCCACCACAACCGCCACATCTCCCCGCCGCACCGCCGCTGCCGCCGCCCCCGCCGTCGCCTCCTTCTCCTCCTCCGGCCCTCTCGTCCGTCCCTGGACCGCCTCCCAAGGCGCCCAGGCCACCAACGCCATCTTAAAGCCTGACATCATCGGCCCGGGGGTCGCTCTCTTCTCCGCGTGGGTCGGCTCTGACGTAGGCGACAAAGGGAGCTACGCGCAGCTGTCGGGGACGTCGATGGCGACGCCTCACTTGGCGGGCATTGCTGCTCTCATCATGCAAAAATACCCAAAGTGGAGCCCCGCGCAGGTCATGTCCGCCATTATGACGACCGCCATAACCACCAATATGGCTGGTACCGCTATCAAGAACGCGTATGGATCGGTAGCAACGCCATGGGAAATCGGTGCAGGGCATGTGTTCCCGCCAAAGGTTCTCGACCCGGGGCTTACATACGACGCCAGGCAGGCCCATTACCGGAATTTTCTCGCTGGGATGAGCCCTTCAACGGCTCAGATGGAGTTTCCCGGGGCTAATTTGTCGCCAATTGCTCCCCGGAATCTTAACCGGGCGAGCATCTCGGTTGCGCGGTTGCGAGGGTCTGTGGTTGTTAAGCGGACAGTTACGAATGTCGCAGCTTCTGCTTCGACGTATACGGCCACGGTTGTGGCTCCTGCTGGGGTGTCTGTGACTGTGACTCCCCAGAGCTTCTCTATACAACCGGGAGCAAGGGTGGCGTATAGACTAATTTTGAAGGTTACTAAAGTGTACGAGAACTTCCAATTTGGAAGAATTACATGGACGGACGGTAAGGGACACTCGGTAAGGTCTGTGCTTGCTGTACAGCCGTCAGTCTTATCATAGACTAAGAAAGGAACAAAAGTTTTGTAATATACATTGTAACTGAACAATTTAATATCTGTTAGGGCATGGCAATGTCCAAGTCTCAGTTTATTATTGCGCATGTATATGTCGAGTATCAGGGCCAGGCAATTTTGTTCAATCGAGCACCGCAGGCGGAAATCCTGGATTTCGAGGGATCGCGCTGAAATAAATTACGGTGGCAATGCAGCCACAGTCAGCCCGGCGGGAGACAAAAAGACCAAGGCGAGGTTGCGTGGTGTGGTGGGTCTTTCCCCGCGGGGTGGAACAAAAGTCTGAGGGTTTTGAGTTGAGCACGCACTGTTACTGAACTTCTTCGCTCCCAGCGCAGCTACAGCGCTTCTGGCGCACTGTTACTGCTCTATTTTCGGCCAATATCATACATACTCAAAGTATGCCCGAAAATGTTTGCAGGTGTAATCTAGCCAACAGTAATCCAAACAGTGGCACTGTTTCTAGCAGAAATCTGTCTTGGCGCGCCACCCGCAGCTTCACCAGTTGACCCGCGTTGCTTCTGTACAGTGAAGGCACCACAGTGCAGGCATGTCAGAAGCGAATCCCACACCACACACGCATCTGTCCACAAATCGAGCCCCCCAACCCAACCCAAACCAAAGCGGCAGCCTCCCCTCGCACCCAAAACGAACCTGCGGAAACCAAACCAATTCCTCCCCCCCCCCCCCTCCTTTCCCCAACCCCTCCCACCCACCCCCTCATTTCCATATCTCACTTGGAAGTCCCTCGCTGTCGAAATGTGAGTGTCATCCAGCAGGCACAAAAAGCATTGAGCTTCGAAACCCTAAAGTCAGGTTTCCTGGTTTCTTAGAAACATGTGTTACGAGTGCAATTGAGTGAACGAACGAGAATTGCACTATCGAAGCAAGAGTACAATGAGCGAAGGCATGAGCGAAGAATATATAGCGAAACTACAGTGGTAACGGTAATGGTCTGTGGTGGTCGCGCGACGAGCCTGGGACTGAGGTTGGGAAAGTGTCGAAGCGTAGGCCCGGAGCGCGGGTTACCAGCCGAGCCGTGAGGTCGGGATGCGATGTGCGAAAATGGCGGGATGATGAATGATGCGATGATCGCGAGTGGTAACGGTGCTGACTGAGGTGCTACAGTGATGTACGCGTTGAGCAGGGATGCGAAGAAAGGAAAAGGGATTTTCCTTACACTGTTGGGCTGAGACGCCCTAGGATCTTTGTAGAGTTAAAGTCTGAGTAGATATTGTAATAGCGGAAGCGTTGAATGAAGTCTTTGAACCACCTTGCGCTGGTATGTGAGGGCAAAGTAAGTTAATTAAAGCAAGGAGATACAAGAATATAAATAGATGAGTACAGAGGATATGAGGAGACATTATATTAACTTTTACTGTTGCGGTTCGATACAGTGCGACTCGGGCAACTGCTCAATGTCGAGTCAGTTGTTTGTCCTTGCTGTCGCGCTGCGTCAGGTTAAAGGTCAGCGACCTTTGACTTTCCCGTAACCTCCGACGGTTTCGTTAACCGCTTTGGTTGACTCGCGATGCTTCGACTTGAGCTGCTTCGCTTTGTGCCTTGAGTTCTGACACGACAGAGGCGCTTAACTTATTTGTTCCCAACACTCCCCTTCGCTTCTGGAGTGTCGCTGATGGTGACGTGGCTTTGTCCAGTCAGCAGCATGCAGTACTCGAACTTCTGTTTTCCAAGTTTCTTGGTCAAGTAGTCAGCTACCATCTCGGACGTGGGACAGTAGGATAGACCGAGTTTCCCATTCTCGATTTCGTCCTTCACGAAGAAGTATCGCAGGGCGATATGCTTCGTTCTGTTCGCGAATCCGCTCTTGTTGGCGATGCGAATTGCAGATTGGTTGTCGCAGAACAAGGTGAAGTTGGGTAACTCGGCTAACTTCGCTTCTTCCAGCAGCTCGCGAAGGTAGAGTCCTTCCTTGGTGGCTGAGCAGAGGGCGATATATTCTGCTTCAGCTGAAGAGAGCGCAATTAGTTCCTGCTTGCTCGATTGCCAGGAGATAGGTCCGATAGGTTCCAGACGGTAGATGTAGCCAGTGCGGGAGCGCCTGTTATCTGAGTCGTCGGCGTGATCGGCATCGACGTAGCCGATTAGTTTCGTCGGCGTAGTTGCGTCTTTGTAATACGTTAGGCCGATCGTTGCGGTGCTCACGAAGTAGTGAAGAGCACGGTCGAGTTCTGCTAGGTGTTCTGCTTCGGGCCTCTTGAGATAGGTAGCGAGTTGGCTAGCGGAGTAGGACAGGTCTGGGCGGCAGGTGACGGCTGCGAAGAGTAGACAGCCCAGTTTTCGTTGGTAGTCGCGTATTCCGGCGGTCTTAAGTAGAACGGAGTTTCCTTTGCCGTTCCCTGCCGTGTAGCGGTATGGCGTGTGGATAGTAGCAAGTATGAGTGCGAAGCGATTGGCGATGGTGTCGGCGTACTTTTCAGCGCTGAGATAGATCGCATTTTCTTCTTCGCGGATGTTGAGCCCGAGATACTGAGTGACGGTAGTGGAGACCGTCAGTGTGCGGTCCTTTTTCAGCTCCCCTTCGAACCAGGTAGCAATGTCGTCGGTAGAACCGATGTAGAGGAGATCGTCGACGTAGACGATGAGCAGGATGTAGTTGGCGCCTTTGGTGAGTCGATACATGCCCTGGTCGTGAGGTAGTTGACGGAATCCGATGCGGATGAGGCGGGTGTGTAGGTGCTGTTGCCACAGCTGTGGGGCCTGTTTGATTCCGTAAAGTGATTTTAGTAGTTGACAGACCTGATTGGGTTCCCCGTGAGTACCGTGAGGGAGCTCGACGAAGATTTCGGCGTCGACGGGTGCGTAGAGGAAAGCGTTAGCGACATCGATTTGTCGCAGTTTCTTCTTCTTCATGGCGGCGATCGCAAGGAGGATTTGGAGAGAGGTGTGTCGGCTAACCGGGGCGAATGTCTCGGTGAAGTCCCGGCCTTGTTCCTGATCAGATCCTCGCACGACCCATCGTGCCTTGAACTTCTCGATTGTGCCATCTGCTTTCGTTTTGATGCGGAAGACCCACTTCCCGGTAAGAATGGTCTTGTTTCTTGCTATGCTTGCTGGAACGACTTTCCAGGTGTTGCGTTCTTCCAAGGCTTTTAACTCTCTGTCCATGGCTTCACGCCATTTCTCCTTGTGTTCCCCCCCCAGAGCCTGTTGAACTGTCGCAGGCTCTTTAGGAAGAGAGGAGCCATGGACTGCGGTGACGAGGCCGAGAATCTGCAGTCCGGTCTGTGAGTAGCGGGGGAGTGTTGTGTCCTCGGGATAAGCTGCTTCATCCCCCGCTTCTGGGTCGGGTATGAAATTCGGTCCTACTCTTTCTGCTTCGTTGGTGTTGGGTGTTGCAGGTGTTATGTTACCATTGTCGGCGAAGTGATAGAAGACTTCGGCGTTGGCACTTTCGCGAGGATTTTCTTCGTCCATGGGGACGTTGACGGAGCAGAACGGGAGAGGTCCGGCTTCTTCAGATGCGTTGTCGACGTTCTGCTCGTCCCAGTCTGCTTCGTCTGCTGCTGAGGCGAATGCTCGGTCACCACGAAAACCACCTGTGGGGTCCTGATTTTTGTGCAAGTTGGCGAGGTACGTTTGGAGAGTGAGTCGCTCGTAGAAGATCACATCACGTGCTGCTACTGTTTCTTTTGAGTGGACGTCGAAGATTTTCCACGCGTTGTAATTCTTTTCGATGCCGAGGTGTAGTCCCCACTGTGCCCGTTGTGAAAATCTTCCCGCTCGTGCCTCAGGTGGTCGGTACTGTACCATGCACCCAAAAACTCGTAACATTTTTGTGCTGCCCTGCTTCCCTGTCCACAGCAGATGCGGTGATGCGTTGTTCAGGAGTGAGGACGACGACATCAAGTTGTGCAGCATGACAGCGTGGTCCATTGCTGCAGGCCACTGGTGGTTGGGTAGCCGCATGCCACGTAACAGTTTGCGCATGCTGTTCTGCAGAGTCCTGTTCATTCGTTCTGCGACACCTTGCTGCTGATGGGCGTAGGGAAGGGAGAGGAGTTGCTTGATTCCTCTTTCCGCCAGGTATTGCTTGAATCGTTGAGAGGTGTATTCGCCTCCTCCGTCTGACTGGAAGCTTTTCAGCTGTGCTCCTGACTCTCGTTCTGCTACTAGTAGCCAGGCGGCGAACGCTGCGAGTGCCATGTCGCGGCTTGGTAGGTTTAGATGCCAGACATATCGAGTGGCGGCGTCGATGAAGGTAATCGTGTAGTTGTAGGTGACTTGCCCTGGTTCGCGATTGTAGAGGATGTCGCTGTACACCTTCTCGAGTGGTGCGTACGTGGGTGCGCTCGGGTTGTGATGAGGAGTAAACGGTCGATGTGGTAAGTCAGCTTCGGGGCAGGTAAGGCAAGTTCCTCGTGCCTTTTGAAGTTCTCTGCCGTCGGGTAGTAGTAAGGAGTCTTTGTCGAGAACTCCTGCTCTTATCGTGTTGTTTAAGACTGTGTTGCTTGGATGTCCCAATCGTGCGTGCCAGGTTTCTTCGGAGGCGCGATGTCCGGGTGACCGTCGATACGTGTCGGAGTTGGAGTAGAAGCTGGCGACGAAGTTTGCGCTTCTGTGGGCTTCTCGTGGAGTTGGTTTCAACTGCTGTGCGGGTGTTGGTGGTTCTTCGTCGACGAGGACTGGTGTCGTTGATC